TTTTTTACGGTAATTTCTAAGTTATACTTTGTGCCTTGGATATTTATGTTTGCCATCGATGAGTGTAACTGTAAAATAAAGAAAAATTTAACGTTACAGTAAAATGTGATATTTTATCATCTAGATAGGCATGTAAAATTAATCGATCAAAAAATATTGTCATTCAGTTTCAATGAGAAACTAAGCTATTATTTTTTGCATAAATCATTGACATACGTTTAATAAGTTATCGCAGTTATGAATGAAATTACTTACTCTGCAGTAAAATACGTTTTAATTCGCTTACAATCATCGATAAAAATAACTTTTTTTTTTTTTCTTAATGCAATAGTTTAGTTACAAATATTTGTAACTATCATCAGTTTAGTAGACAACTATACAGTTAGTTACATTTTTCAGTGATCAATTAATTTTGTACGTTATTTTTCATCGCAACGCTACACGTAAGTATACGTTTTTATCACGAATACTTTTGCCTTACTAAACATCAACTTCAAAATATAAAAAGAAAAATGGCATTGTACGCAAGTACGGGGGGAAGAGAAAAACAGAGGCTTTGTCAACGCATAGCCAAGGCGTTGTTACTTTCAAAAATTTCAGTGGACAAGTACCTTCTCGGTGGCTCGATTATAGAAATGCAGGTCCGCCGGTCTCCGCAGTGAAGCATCATTCGCTGCGGTTAGTACTTGGATGGGTGACCGTCCGGGGATCTTCGTTACGCTTGTGATGTTTCGGAGGACCGGTTAACTGTTTCTCTGTCGTCCTGACCAGCTTGAAGGTTCCTGAGTTGGCAATCCTTGTGTCTATCCGTAGACACTCGGACCTAACTCTTGCCAACTTTTGTTTTTTTTTCTTTTATTTTTACTTTAAGATAATGTTTATCAATGTACTTGGCATTGAATACTTTTTTTACGTATGCTAAACGAATTAATAAGCATGCAAATTGACGTTAAACGCGTATGGCCCAACTGAGGAACACCACAGGTGTGACATTAGCGGTGGGTAATGAAAACATGGTAAATTGCCTTTTTTTTTAATGAAATATGGTCCTGATTTATTTGGTGTAGTTAAATTTAAAAAAAAACTTCTCTCCAGCTGGTTGGGGAAAACACGCCTTGACGCATGCTTTTTTAACTTTTGCACGTTAGGAGTATTATTTGCAAAAATAAATTATAGGTTTAGCTCTTTCTGGTTCTTCTATTTTTGTAAAATTTTCTAATTTAACATTTTTTGAAAACATATATTAATTTATTTGTAAAAGTAGCGACACACGTTGGTAGTACATCATGAATAATTTTTTCCTCGATATCTTACACAAAGACGTGTTACGTCGAGTAGTGACAATAAATTTTATTTTTCTTGATACATCGTCAGCCTCACAAAGTTGTCGGATAACAATTTAAAATCGGTCAAGTTTTTTCTCGTTTTTTAGGCGCAACATATACAGTTTCTATGGCACTCGTAGTTCTATATTGTCTTATACTCATCCATAAAAAAGTTACTTACCAATAATGGTTTAGACTAGTACTACATAATAACTATACATTATATAGATAAAAATAATTACCTCACGTTTTTTAGCACGACTGATTCACATAAGTGCCCTGTATTTTTGCCGGAGTAAAAAATGTAACCGCCACTTATAAAGACATGTAAATCAACTACCTCAAAAAATTGTGCTTAGATTTGGTTTGTAGTTTCATGTCCATACCAAAACCCGACAGTTTAAAATTTCGTCAAAGGGAAAAATATTTCCAGCCCCAGGATTGTACAATTTTGATAAATTAAAATTAGTTTTTTTTTTTTCAGAACCATCTTTATGTTTAAAAAATTAAAAAACAATGAAAAACATTAATTAAATCATTATTTTGCTATATCTTTTAGTTTGTATTAATGATGTGTGTACTGTATAGTAAAAAAAATGCAAGTCTCATCGAAGTATAACTTTTTTATATCCTTCACTTTCATAAAAATTACAATCCTGATGTATACGTGAAGGCAATAAATATTTGTAAATAATTTGAAAATTGATTTCTTCGCAGCGAGTATAAATAGTATTAAGTTGACATAATTACATTAAGTTGTGAATACTACGGTTGTAGATCTCAAAAAAATACAAAATTTATATATTTTTTTGTATTGTTTTTTTAAACATGTTCGATGCTCTGAAAAATAAAGGAAATACTTTAGCAGGTCAAAAAATCAGTATTTTTGGCCACACCTAATGTTTTTAGTTTTATGTATGGTCATGGAAAATTGTAGATCTTGTTGTGTTACGTTTTAGAATACATATTTAAACCTAAAATGTGATTGTTATGGTCTGGACATTAATAATTCACACAAATAGCCAAAAACCGAAGTAATAGTGCTCATATTGAATAATCAAAAAAATTTGTTTAAAACTTCTACGAATATAGTAGTACTTTTCGCTTAGGTAAGAGATTTTTTTTTTCTAATGCACTACGTGGTAGGGTTACATGGTATACTTAACCTTATAGAACTTCTCCGGTTCGTACACATAGTCGGCGGCGTGGTCAGAGTTAAAAGCTCGCACGTCGCCTTGTGTGGGGTAGTGACTTGCACTGCTTCGGCCTTTGGTCATAAAATTTGGATTTTACAACAGAGGGTGTTTTCCGCGATCGTCACCAGCAAGTAATTTAAGGTTGCGCACTACGTTACCATCAGGTCGGTAAGTCAACTACCTTGAATTAACTGGCGCTCGATCCCACAAAACATTGAGGTGACAACCGACACTGTCTATTTTGTTGATAACATCTATAGTTATCTAAAAGATATCAATTAGTTATATAGAGAACAGTTATCGAAAAATGATGTCTTATAGTTGTCTTTTATAGACGTCTACGCGATAACTTTAGAAGACAACTAAGTGTTATCTTTTTTACTGGTATCATTTTGAAGCGTTGTCAAAATGTTATCGAAAAAATTATTTTTAAAGTTATGTCCACGTTATCGAAAGAAAAGATGCCTTATAGTTGTCTTATAAAAGACGTCCATGTGATAACTTTCAAAGACAACTTAGAGTTATATTTTTTGACCGATATCATTTTTAAGTGTTGTCAAAATGTTATCGAAAAAACAATTTTTGAGTTACCATATTTAATGCAGAAAATGATAACATTACGATAACTTACGATAAGTAAAAATGATATCAATATTTTTATCTTATTCAGACATCATTATGATAAAGCCGGTGCGATTGGTTGCGGTATATATATAAGGGGCGCACGGTTCTCATATGTGGATTATAACCTCCTTCTTTCTTGCATCAGCTGTCAAGCAGGCCACATCGGATCCCGTTCGCTTTTTGTCCAGCTCTCTTCGTCAGAGGCATCATCAAAAGGTTGTGTTATTTGTTTCAATAAAATCTATACACTTAATCTTTTATTAATTTTTGTGCTCTCTGGCTCTTCTTCTTTCAACTCAAAAGTGGAATTAGTAAATTTTGATAAAGACCTTCTATTAAATCAAAATTTGTCATCTCAATTTGTAAGTATTTGGTTTGTTTACAAATTTTCTAGTTCTAGTTTAAGCATTTATAACTAAAAAACATTGAATATTTTTCTTTAGGAAAAAAAAATTTTAAGCCTGGGAGGAATAAGTTTATCTAATACTATAAATAAGATTATACCTACCATTATAACATAAACTGTGTCGTCAACTAACTTGGTACGGTTTTCATGGAACTCTTGCTGTAAAGGATCTCCATTTTTCATCGATAATCATAAGTATGTATTTTGATTCTGAAAACTTATGTATTTTTTAAAATTTATTAATCGTTAACATTTTTATAGGTGCTACACAAAAAAAAATTGCATCTACTGTAACAGATGTACAAGAACGCATTAAAGATTGGTTGCGTAGACCATCTGACAGGCAGAAAAAAAAGAGAGGAGTCAATCAACAGCCTATATTGTGATTAATTTTCTAATTGTGCTTAAACCAGTGATTCTTAAGTATGACATAAGTATAAAGTATTTTGTAATCGTAAAAAAACAATTGTAAAAAATACACTTTTAAAAATATCTATTATAATGAAGGCATCGTGCAATTCAAAGAACTATAGATACCTTTGAATTGAATGAATTGATTGATTAATTTATAATTTAAAGGCCATTATTCAAATGAATTATAAATTTGTTCAATTTAAAGGTATCTGTGGTTCTTTGAGTTGCGTAAATGCTACTATTATATTATTTAATACTATTTAAACGATACCCTCAAGATATCATTTAATTTACACAGCAGATATCTGTAAGATATCATTGAATTTAGCACCACAGATATCTAAAAGACATCCTTAATTCTTGCTCAAAAGACATCCATAAGAGATCAAAAACATTTACGGTATGACAACAGCAGACGTCTAAACGTTATCAATTAGTTGTCATTAGCTGATGTTTGTTTGCTGACAACTGATAACAATACGATGTCTTATCGACAATGCTTTGGCGTCAATTTGACATCTTGCCGATGTAGTTTTGATAACTTCGGTAGATATCAGCTGACAGTCCAATGATGTCGTGTAGATGTCTTATTGTCACCTTAATGTTTTGTGGGGTAATCTAGCCAGTTAAAACAGCAGACGACGTGAAAGTCGAGAAAAAATTGTAAAGATTTTATCGCTATTGACTGTCGTCTGCTGTTTTAACTGGCCAGATTACGGAATAGAGCGCCAGTTTAATTCAAGGTAGTTGACTTACCGACCTGATGGTAACGTAGAGCGCAACCAACTATTACTTGCTGGTGACGATTGCGGAAAACACCCAGAATTAACCTTATTCACAAGTATATCACATGAGAAATACTTACTCATGGTAAGCTAAGAAACTTCTTGGTTGTTTGTCGAAAAAAAAAATAAGCAAGTAACTCACGATAGATAGAGTAGATCACACACATACTGAAGGCCCGCATAAATGAAATCTTCTTTTACCAAAAAGTTGTGCTGTGCTAATCTGCAACGTCAAGATCGTCGACTGCTATACAAACATCAGCATCTGGAGGAAGGAATTGGAGTAAAAAAACGCAACATTATTTTTCTTTTTTATTGTGAAACATGTAAACGGTGCGAGTATGTAAAAAAAAAAAACCACCGTGATTTCCATAAAATGCGTGCATACTTTCTATGTATGTCGGTGACAGATAAAATATAGGCGTACGCGGGCATGCATAGTGTGTTTTGGTAATTTGTCGAGCAAGTGGATGGTGATTGTTGTCTGAGCAATTGCATTTGTCGGAAAACTCTGACAATTCATCTACTGACAAGGTCAGTTTTTTTTTTTCTTCTAATTTTTCAATCATTCATCAACATGTACGACAAATATCACAGGGATCAAGATGAAATGAAAAACGTATAGTCACATTGTAGGACTACAAATAAAATTTGCTTTGTCAGATATGTGGAAGGATGAGTTGGTTCGATACATCGGGGTTCGCCAGTTTGGCCAAAACAGCGCTGAAGGAGGCGCAAAAGACCATAGACAAGGCCCTGGACATCAAAGATGAGGAACAGAAACAACAACAGCAGCAGCAGCATCAGTCAGCTGGCATGTCATCGGACTTTTTTGACTCCTGGGGTGTCAAAAGCGAAGAGAACAGCAAAGAAACCGGTACTAGTCAAAAGCAACAGGCCACCAGCATCTGGGGTAGCTTTACAGGGTCGTTTTTTGAGAATCCAAAGGACGCTCCGATAGCCATGACGGGCAAGGCGGCTGGTACGTTTAGAATTGACAATCTGCAGTCGTCGCTTCCTGAAAGTCTGTCGGATAAAACGGCCGGTGAAAGCTTATCAGCCGTTCAGTCGACTAGTGAGCCAAATAATACTTGCGTAGCATCAAAGTATGAAAGTTTTGAGGAATGCACCGGTGAAGGTATATTTTTTTTGTTTTAATCGAAATCATGCAATGATTGTACGTGAATGCTTTGTGTTTTTTAGCGTTTGCAAGCGAAAATGTGTCGTCGGATAAGCAGATTAGCCAATCAAACACCGATGAGACCTGTACAAGTGCCAAATGGTTGGAAGAGAGTAGACCGAGTCCAGTGGAGACTAGCGACACGAGCAAAAAAAACAATAGTGTCGTTTCGAGAAAGAAAGAACAGCCAGGCGCGAGTCACTCGCTCAATAGGTTGTCGATTTTATCAGCCGAAAGCGATAAAAAGAGCTCGGAAAGCTGTGAGATTTTGAGTCCGAGTACCGATGGCACCAACAGTCCAGACTCGGATGTGAACTCTCTGAGCGCGGCGATGGGCCAAAAAGCCGATTCGGAGTCCGTGGAAGTGTTGCCGGACAGTTTGGTCACGTCCCCGAGCTCGGTCGAGGTGTTGAGCGACTGGAAGAGCGACGAGGATTCGTACATGTCTCCCATGGATGACAAGATGTTGGAGACCTCCATCACACCGACGCCTGATGATACTCCAGATACTTCTACGGATGGAGGTATGCCATTTTCATCGCCCCCTTCCCCTCCCCGATTGTTTTTACATGAAAAATAAATGACAACTTTTATTCATCCATTGTACAAAAGACATCAAAAGTTCAACAAGTACGCTGGAGGGTTCACAACAGGCGATGTCGCTTACATCCCGGAGTCTACGCTCGCGCGACTTGTATGAATCAACGACGAGCCTGACGTCCCCGGAGATCGAGATACTCGCTAGTACCGCAGACCCAGAGGATGGAGACGAGGTCAGTCTCGCCGACGACTCTTACACTTCCGCGTCGGAGAGCACAATGATGACGATCGTCGAAACGGCTCAGCTGCATCACTTGGAGTCGAGACAGATGCACGAGTCCTACCCGGATCCTCGCCAAGTCGCTTGTGTCAGTCCAGGTTCTGATTACTCGATGAACCTGAGTCTGGAGTCGCTCAAAGACATCAAACCTGGACTGGTAGGACAGAATAACTATTGAAAAAGAATTGGTTGTTTTTTTTTTTTTTTTTTTTCAAAGAAAGGGGAAAAAAAAAAGGAATTTGTTTCAGCCAACGCTGCATCTTCCCATCGAGGCGATAACGAAGCAGCCGATTCGCAAGCCCGACTTCCCGGATCCCACGAAAAAGCTCGCCGAGCTCGAGCCACCGTTCGACCACCTAAAGTCGTCCACCATCGAGCCACCCGAGCCCAAAACGACCGACACCTTAGAACGCAGCAGCGGAAGCGAGCAACACCTCATGCTCACGGACTCGAGCTGCGAGGAGACTCTCATAGAGAGTAGCTCCGAGGAGAACGTCCTCATCGAGCAGCAAGAGCAGACCCTCACCGCTAGTTCGTACGTCAAGACGATGCTCGCCGAAGCTATGGCCGAGAAGGCTGACCCCGAGAGGCACTGCGTCGAAGTGCCACCCAGGGGAAATTCGCCCATTTCATCCGAGAGGTGCGTTGTACGAACCATTTTTTTTTTTTTTTTTTTTTTTTTTTTCCGAGTCCAAAAAGCGCTCGTTATTGCTGTACAGCCGTTCGGATTTGGTGAAGATCGGATCCGACCAGACGAGCGGCCACACGAGCGGCGACGAACTGGAGACGACGACGACGTCGAGCGACATCGAAATAATATCCAGGTACAGGTACGCGCCCATAATATCCAGTGTTTTTGTCCCTCCAAATGACTAACTTTGAGCTTCGAATCACAGTCCAAACGGCGACTCCAGCTCGACGCAGTCGCGCCAGAGTCCGGCCAACTCGCAGACGTGCGTCAAGGGGTCGGATCTACTGACGAGGACTTTGAAGACTAGGGGCCACTCGCGCGAACTGAGCGAGATAAGCGTCGGCTCGGACGACGCGAGCCTTGAAATCGAACGGCTGGTGAGACGCCTGCGAGAGATGACCGACATCCTCGAGGCTCGCGAATCCAAGCTCATCGAAGTCAGTCGCGCCAACATGGAACTACACGAGCACAACGCCAGTTTGAAAAAGTAGAGTTTTCACCTGCGCGGGGAGGTATCGTGAATTGATTGCGATTCTTTTTCCCCCAGGCAACATGCCGAGCACAGCCAAGATTTGACCCAGATCACGGACGAGTACACCCAGCGCTTGTCGGCGCTGGAGCGTAAATTCCAGCAGGCGATCAGGGAACGGGACTCGCTGCGCAAGAGTCTCGAGCAGACGAAGCAGGAGTCGGCTTCGAGGCAGTTGGCGGCCGAGATGAGCGCCGAGAAAGACGAGATAATTCGAGAACTGCGCGAGGAGGGCGAGAAGCTCAGCAAGCAGCAGCTCCAGCACAGCAACATCATCAAGAAGCTCAGGGCTAAGGAGAAGGAGAACGAGGCACTGATCAAAAGTCAAAAGTCAGCGCTAAGCCAAGTGTTTTGATGCCTCGTTGATTTAGGTTTTGAAGGATGAGTCGTTTAAAGCTTTCGTTTTGCAGAGAACAGCTGGAAGAGCAGACCACCGAGTTGGAAAGACTGAAGCGGTCTCTGTACGCGAAAGAAGAAGTGGAAAGGAGCCAGATAGAGGCCGTGCACACTCTAACTGCCAAGCAAAAGAAACAGGAAAAAGAAATCATGGGTCTTGGTGAACAGCTCGACCACGTTACCAATAAAATGAAAGCTTACAAAAAGAGCTTCGACGCCGCCAAAGCGTAAATATCCATGTCACAGTATTTCTTTTGCCTTTGGAAAGTATAAGGGAAATTGAACTGTTTTGTTTGTTTAGCGAATTGTTGGAGACTAAGGATAGGCTGACCGATACTGAGGAAGAATTGAAATTGGCCGTAGAAAACGCTGGGGAGTCACACCAGCTTTTAGCCCAAGTGGAAGATTTGAAAGTGAAGCTCAGGCAGACCGAAGAAGCTCGCGTGAAGTAAGTGCAACCTCCATCGCATTCGAAAACTGAGCAATAAATTTATTTATTTATTTATTGTTTTTTTAATACTTTTAGAAAAGAGCAGTCACTGAAGCAAGAAAGCCTTGAGCTCCTGAAGCGCTTGGAAGCCGCGGAATCCCGCAGCGAGGAGATCTCGGAGTCAGCGTCGCTGGCGACGAAGCCTCTGCTGCGTCAATTGGAACAGTTACAGTCGAGTCTCACTCAAAAGACGAATCTTTACATGCGCCAGGAGGAGATGATGAGCGAGAAAATAGCTGATCTGCAAACGAAGCTCGAGAGTACCAGTGAAACCAATCGATCGCTGGCCGAGGAAAACACGAATTTAAAGTCCAGGTGTTCCGTTTTGGAGGGCAAAATCACTGCCAAGGAAAACGAGAGGAGAAAGCTCGAGGATGCGATTACAACTATCGAAGAGCGGAACAAAAAGCTCGCCGACGAAATCGAAGGGTCAGTGTGTTGTTGGAATGACAATCCGACAAATTGAATAACCGTTTTATTTACTTATTTTATGTTTTTACAGGCAAAAAAAACTTTTGAAGACCAACGAGGAGACGTACACCGCTGAAATTAATGGTTTGAAGCGAGAAATCGCAGCTTTGGAAAACAAACTCTCGGTGGAAAAGGCGGCAATGGATGCCGAGAGGCGCAAAAGCCACGCGATCCTTGAACATCAGCAGAGTGTCGACGAGGAGTTGAGATTGAGTCCTACCTTGAGCATCGAGAGGGACTCTGTTAGTAGTGCCAATAGCGTTTGGCCGGCGGTAAGCTTTTGTGTACCCATTAATCCACGAGAAAGCAAAAACATTGTGCTGACGTACGTACGTTTTTAGTTCAACGATTCGATGTTTGAAAGTGGCTCCGGCAGGTTCCCGAACGTGTACGAAAGCTTCAGGGCTGGCTCGAACAGTTCGTCCGTAATCGAGAATCTCCAGGCGCAGCTGAAACAACGAGATGGTGCGTCATCCTGAATCAACTCAATACGTGCTGCAAAGGTGCAAATCTCAAATGTGATTATTTTTAGGTGAAATTCAACAACTGCAGTGGGATCTTTCGCGACGGAATGTAGAAAGGGATGTTCTAAACACCGAAGTGTCCTCACTGACGGCCCAAGTCGAAGACCTCACGGTTACGGTGGCGGAAATTGAAACGATCAAAGAAAATTTACGCGACATCCAGACCAAGTATGATGCACTCTTGCAAATGTACGGCGAAAAGGTCGAGGAGAATCAGGAGTTGCGTCTGGACCTCGTGGATGTGAAGGAGATGTACAAGACGCAGATTGATCAGTTGATGAAAAGAGACCTCTGAAGAAGTTTGAAATCGATGTTGGAAAATTGAAGCTGATGCAACGCGTATGGTTATTTCTTTTTTTTTTTTTTTTTGTAAATATAGGTAAAAATGCATGGATTGTGCAAGGCTGATGTAAGGATAGAGCATAGAGTGCGGTGTGTCTGTTGTTTTGTAATTTTATTGAATGGCACTTGTAAGATATAGTTGGTTTTGATGTGTTGAACGATCATCAGATTACTTTTTTTTTCATTTTGTTTTCTATACGTGGAAGCCAAACGGTAGCATTTTGATTATAAATTGTATAAAGCTATGTCATAAACAATGAAAACATCACTGCGACTATTTACAAAGTCTGATTTTTAATGCAAAATTGTCTGATGAATGAGAAACGTAGGGTTTTGTAGCTTTTAAAAATTCAAATTCAATACAGAAAAATAAAACTTTTTACAAATATTCAAAAAAATTACTTTAAAGTCGTGTAACTTTTTGTATAAATCATCTTGTTTTGTAGATACTATAAATATTTTATTAAAATTTTATCGTCACGCAAGAACGCAACTTGTCGAGAACCACTTTCCAAACAACTATTTGTTGTCGATTAGTATTTCACGGACTAAGTATCGAATATTCATACACTGAATACGTATTTATTTAAATTCATAGAGATACTGTATGAAATGTATTGACGTTCGACAAGCACGAAAATTACAAAGAAATTTCGAAGTTGCAGTTTAGCTCGTATGAAAAACACATTACGACATCCGTAGTGTCGCGTCCATCAAGTACGATTGTAAGTTATAAGTTTCGATTCAATAAAATCACACAAATTATTGTTACGGTGGCTTGAGGAAGGTGTACATAATTTTTAAAATTATATTTTATTAAAGGTACAAACGAGTTACTTTTAAGGTGGCCAAAAAAAATCCTTTTTTTTCACCCTTTAGAACTGGTTAAAAATTGTTTGCAAGTATGGAAGTGTACACATATTTTAACTTTTGTTTGTTTTATGTACATACAAACACATTATTGTTGCAACTATATATATTATTGTTCTTTAATGATTGTTTTTCTGTCCCGTGTGATAACGTAAATGATGAATACCCGAGAAAATCGAAAGCTAAGAGTCGATAGTCATGTGATATTGTATTGTAATATACTATAACCAACAAAATCAATTTAATAATAACATTTCAAATTAAAAATTAATTTTTCAATTCTTTCCTAAGCTCTACTCGTTCACAACAAATTTTTTTACCATTTTTTATACTTTGAAAAAGTGTGACATTTATGTTCATATCATCTGCAGCTCGTAACTTACTCTTTTTTTACCATCGCGCAATTCATCCCTACCTTATCCACGGGCAGTAATATAGGACCATTAAAATTATCATAAATTAACAATGAAATTAACTTTGCAATACTAGTACAATTACAAAGAAGCAAAAAATTTATTTATCTGATTAAATTTATTAAAAATTAATGTGAAATAATAAACCACTCGATAAATTACCGTCAGTCGAGATTCTTGCTGGCACACGTTAATCGCGAATTGCAAAATAAAATCAGCCATATAATCAGCAGCCGAACAGTATCACTTCTCGTAAAATTATTACACTCTCATCGAAAAAAAAAAAAAGAGTAGTGATTGAAAAAAAAACAATAATAATAAGAAACACACGTTGTATACGTATAAAAAAACAAAAGGAACGCATTGTTTTTCCGGAAAACGCTCCAATTGGGGCAAAATCGAGCTAAACGGACGAGCGTTGTTACCGGCTTTGTGACACAATTTCTAGGGCCGGCTGAAAAGCTGCTATTCTGGCCTTGTTCCCCAACAGCTCCAGTGGCGCAATTGGTTAGCGCACGGTACTTATAAGACAGTGTTTCGTGTGAGCAATGCCGGGGTTGTGAGTTCGAGCCTCACCTGGAGCATATTTTTTTACCCCCGCCCTTGGGCCCGTACCTACCTCCTTTTGCCGTGGTTCAATTTTTATGTACCCATCGTCGAGGCTTTGTCGTGTTCTTTTCTCCAATTATCGCGTGAGAATGAGTTTTTCGGTGCTTCAACGACATAATATTAGGTGACGATAAACAATATGGATTTACAATTTAATCATCATCTCGGGTGCAACTTGATGCAATCGTTTTAAATAAAAACCCGCCAAACGGGCAAAATTGTCTGGCCTACCTTGGAGCTGTTTTAAATGAGTCACGTTGGTTGAGAAAATGTTGAAATGTTTTTTTTTTTTTTTTTTTTTATGCATGAATTATTAAAATAATACTTTGTTTACAATATTTTTTTCTTCTCAAATGTAGAGGGGTTGACGTAATACTCATGTAGTAAAAGCAGGCCGACAGAGAATCTCTTCAAAAAATTTTTAAGTAGAACATTTTCATGAATTTCAACTCTTTTCCAGTAAGTTCTTGGCATCGTTTTTGGCCGTTTTTTAATATTCATGAACTAACAGGATTACTAAGCTATTAACTATGAAGGGCTAACTGAGGTGTTTCGGAAACTGGTTAAGTCATCGACGGTGTTGTCATTTTTTTCAACAACCACATCTAGTCACGTGACACGCTAATTTTTTCAACAACGATGATCTTGTATTGTGAAATATGGATACGGAAGTTTTTGGTTAATGTTTTGTTCTTTTTTTTTTTTTTTTTTTTTTGTTTTTTTTTTGTTGCCTGTCGCAGCATCGTTCCTTCATTAAAGTTCCCTCTCGCACATGAAACCAAAATTTCAACACAGGTTTTTCGCATCTTCGTTCAAATGTATGTACATGGATGATGTAGTATTATTGGCCGCAATAATTCTTCGTTACGGTCCATAGAGAGGCGAACAGCGTAGGTATACATGGCAATGGTGGAACTGTTATTTGAAACAATGGTGAGAAGTAATTCGAATCTTAGCCAAGTGGTTCGACGAACATTCCGACGCTCGTGGAACTTGAAAAATTTGTTTTTGCCCCAGTGCACGACACATCGTGTGATGGTTCGAGGTAAGTATCACTTCAGGGCTATACTTTCGTAATTCTCGTGAAAAATTTTGCATCTCCGTAAGAAAATATACACGTGCCCACAAATACCTATACTTGTTGCAAAAGCAATACGCATTGCGTTATAATTATGGAAAGAAAAGGAAAAAAAGTCATGACGAACGCGTGAAGAGTTGCTAAATAATTTATTGATAGTTCCGTGGGAAATAAGAATGTTCAAAAAGTCGAGTTGATAACGTAATCGAGATTTTTTTATCGGCTATGCGATTATATACATTCCACTCTCCTTGAGTTCGTTTCAATTGTAGTTGAAATAGATAACTTAAACGGTTTCGTGAGAAAAAATCATATCGTTCATAATGAAAATGTTGAAATGGAATTTTTTTTTTTTTTTTT